CCTCATTGGATAGTGACCTATTATTGGAAGTCGAGATGAAAAAATACCACTTGTGCTCCTAACTCCTTAACTTTCTTGCCTAACTGCTCATAATTTCACAATATTATTTTCAGGTTCATTGTCATGTCATTTCTCCCTATGTGAAGGAGAAGGGGCTAGTAATCTATGAGTTTGATTATTTTAGTAAGGTTCTAGGCCACATCTTTGATTTTTTGCTCCAGGGAGACAAATACCTCCATAGATTGAATGTCTGGTTTACAGATGGCTGGTTCTGTTCCCCTGAGGACTGAATCTCCTATAACCAACACTTGCCTTTTTTCCCCCCTAGGAAAGTCTAAGCTATTTTTCTCCCTTTCTCAGGGGCACTTGATGATGCAGCTTTTCTATGTGTCTGCATGCTTTCTTCCAGGAGGAAGCTGTGAAATCCATTGCTCAGTTCCAAAAGGGTTGAACTAGATAGGGGCATTGAGAAGACCTATCTCTTTTTCTTTAATGTAAGGAAAAGGCTTTTTATGTAGCAAAAGCACAAGTCACCCAGAAATGCTTGGTAAAGAGATGGGCAGCGTACAAATTTAATAAAATAAAAAAAGCTTACATTGTGTAGTCAAGGCCACCGTCTTGAAATTTTGTTCAACACGCCTGCAGCATTGCTATTCAGAAGACTCAAAAGTGCTCTAGGCTGTGGGGTGACCAGTAAATCCCAATGCAATCCCAAGCTGCCAGCCAGACACATAATATAAGGAAATGTGATATTGTTTTCGTAACTGGAGTTCTATTGTGGTTCAAGTATGCCTCAGGTGTTGCTCGGCTCCCTTCCTCATGTGGTTTTTTATATTTGGTTAAATATCAATAATTTAAAAGAATGAGAAGCAAAACACCAGCCTCAAGTATTACCTTATTTACATTGTCTCCAGTGGTATCAAAGACCACCCAGGTCCCCAAAAACTTTATGGTAAAATAACTGGTGTTTGGCTAAGCTTTGTGCATTGTTGCATTGACCCATCAGCTCTGGAAAAGGAGTAAGAATAGGTGGAAAAACTTGTATCTTGGAGGCTGCAGTGGGATAATGGGTGGTGATCTGGTAAATGGGTATGGATAATTGATTAATGGTCCTCCAGGTATCGTATTAGGTACGGACCTTTAACATGTTCTCAAACTCTTATACTATGGAATGTTTATGGATAAATGGACAGATGGGCTGATAGGCAGACAGATACTGTACATAGATTAATTTCTTTTCTTGAAAAGAAAAGTGTCTTGCATCAGTTCCTTCAGTTGATCTGATCTATTTATTTATATTTTCTGTCTTGTACAAGCAGGATAAACTGAACTACAGAAGAGAGATCTCCCTTAGCTGAGATGTCTTAAACCAACCTCAACATCATAGTGCCTCTTTTAAATTGTAGATTGGGGATAATGATAGTTTATCTGCTTGTATGTAGGAGGTGGTTTAGCTTCTTTTAGTAGTAGCCCTGTTGAAGCTGAGAACAGTTGTTCTTGTGGATGACAAAAATAATGTTACATCTTAACAAGTCCTTGTATTTAGTAGATTTGTCTTTCCAGGAAAATAAAGAGATGCATCTCAAGCCCATTAAAATAGAAACTTCTGCACTGCAATCTTTTACAAGGTCCTCTGAATGGGGGACTCAAATTGCTTTTCAGCTTGTTATCTCAGAACTTTATTAATAGGGGAATTATGGAATAACTATGGAAACTCAATGAGCGTTTGGAATGTGAAACTTCCAATGAAACTAACTCATGCACTTGTTTCCATCTGTTCTGCCAGAATTTTTCATGACTGGATCATCGGTAAAAACCGGCCAGACTCTGGAAGTTTGATTGAAGTGGTAACAACTGGAGGAAAATCTGAACTTTCACCAGCCCACCTCTGACCCAAGAATGACATTTGTGCAAATAGGGGTAAAGTCATAAAGATATAAAATCTGTCTAGTGTAATTTAATCATCTTCTGTTCCTGCTCACTATCTGGCTTTATTTGGAACCAGATCTGCAGTTGGTTTGTCTTGCTAAATGTGACACAGTGACATTTAATTATCCAAAGGTGCAAGGCATCTTGCATTTAATAGAAGAAATGAGTTTCAAAATGGATTCATAGGTTAATTTTGCAGAGTGAAAACTAGGGAGGCAGAGCAAATAGGAAGCAAATAATAAAACATGGTTCATGTGGCAAATCCCACAGCTTATGTATTTGCATCTGATCTTGGTGTGCAAGTACATAAGAATGAGGCTTGCATTGGGGCATCCCTGTCCTCATTTATAGGTGAGGATGCTGTTGTGAATGGAAAATCGTCATCTTGTAGAATACTTGTATTTCTGTGAATGGCCATTTTGAATGTTACCCAGGTAGATGTTGTGCTTAGTTGTCATATATTAATTCTGACCAAAGATGCAATACTGCCACTGCCTTTGAATAAATATGACTACGCCAAGAGGTTCCACAAAGACCAAGAACAAAACAAGAGTATGTATTCTACCTTCCCAGTTCACAAAAATGCCCTAAATAAAACCTAGAAAATGTGAGTGCTGCCACTGAATTCTTCATTCCCAAGTATTTTCTGAAGTTTCTTTACAAATGCAGAAAGAAGGGAATATTTAGAAGAGTCCATTTAACATGGACATTATAGTTGCTGTCATTTGCCTTAAAAGCAATGAAAAATTCTCAGTGCAGAGTGCCAGTTTTCAGGGGTGGTATATCTGGCATATTCCTGCTATTATGTGCATAAAGAAGACTGTTGACTTTATTTTTTCTCTAGAGAGAGAGAGAGAGAGAGAGAAATCCTTGAGATGAATTCTTCAACCCACACTAGTGATGTTGCTAAGTTGTAGCTAAGAGTTTTTAAGTCTACATGTTCCTTACCATTCTTGATTCAGGGGAGAAGAATATAGGATAGAATATAGAATAGAATAGAAAATAGAATAGAATAATAGAGTTTGAAGGACCTTGGAGGTCTTCTAGTCCAACCCCCTGCTTAGGCAGGAAACCCTGTACCATTTCAGACAAATGGTTATCCAATCTCTT